CTCTTCATAGTGTACTGTACTGTACTTTGTGTCATATTTTTGTGGTTTAAAAAAATATATATATGGTTCAGAACGGATTAACTGTATTTACATTGAACCTTATGGGAATATTTGATCTGGGTTGCGACCAAAATCGGCTGGCGACCAAATTCGTAGGGGTCAGAACGGATTAACCATATTTACATTGAACCTTATGAGAAAATTTGATTCGGGTCGCGACCAATTCGGGTCACGACCAGACTCACAGAACGAATTAAGTTCATGACCCGAGGTACCACTGTATATAGTAACTTTCCTCACTGCTTTCAAGACCTTTCAAGTTTCACCCTTTGCTCTAAAACGTATGTTACTTTCTGTACCAACTGCTGTCCAATTCTCCATATCCACTACTCATCTGTAATTCCATAAGTACTACCCTTGCCTTACAGCTAATGAATTTGAATACTGTAAAAAAATCTTTTCTAAAAATTATTTCAACCAGGGATCTGATTTTCTATAGAAACACATAAAATGTGTCAAGCTGAATTCTAAAACAACTAACCACTACGGATAGTAACTCCGTAATAATGTAGTATACAGGATCTCAGTAGAATGAAAAAAACACACACTATTACACATATATGGCCTCAACAAAAATACGCATCATCTCTGATTTTGGAGGCTCGGGAGCAGGCCTCCCGTGTAACCTGCTCTTCAGGTCCCTACAATATAAACCAACATTTCTTTGGAAGCTATGCTGCCCTTAATGAAAAACCTAAGTGGTTAGCACTTACAGGTTAATTATCAAGTTGATAATTGATAAAAGAACAAAAACCACTTATAAGAAAAAATGTGTATTACTTTTTTTGCACAAAAAAGGCTCTTTTTATAAAGTGGTATATAACAAATTCTAAAGATACAATAAAAGGAAAAATACATATATGTAATAGTATATAAATAATAAATAATTCTGAATAGCAGAAAATATGAAATTACTTAGACAATAGAACATAAAAAAAAACACACAAATTAACCACAACTGAACACACCAAAATTCTCTTTCTTCTCACTCATGCCCTGCTATTTTAAAAGCCTTATTTTTAATTTATTTAATATATTGCATCTGTTTCATACATCAGATTTTTTTTCTTTTAAATAGGGTCAGCTATACAGCTTTGTCTCCTGTTGCTTGGTATAAGAGGATTAATTTGGGTTAAACACTAAGAAGGGTTTTTTTTCTTAACAGTAAGTTAATAACACAACCAACGACCAAAAGCAGAGGTAGCCTCTCCCTTGGTGGAAGTCTTTAAGTATTGTCTGCAAACACAGATTTTACAGCACTGGATTTTCTACATCAACCAGGGATTTGGCGAGATAGCCACAAGCTCCCTCTAACTCATGACTCTATATTTTACTTTATTTATTTCTTTATTTACAGGGTTTATAGGCTGCTTCAATCTGCTAACTCTAAGTGGTATACAATTCCTCAATTGATAATACATACAATCACTTAAAAATAGCAACTAAAAACATTCCTCTGGAATCAAGGATTGCATATAAAACATTAACAGCAACAAAGGAACCCAATCTCATGAGCAAAAACAATTATAACAGACCAGCTTCTCTGGCTTGATGGAATAATTAGGTTTTCACTCTTTCCTAAAAGCCAGGGGGGAATGGCCTGATCAGACAGGGTGGGTAGGTGGGTTAGTGTTGTACAAGGCTTAACAGTGTGAAAAACTGGTAGGAATACTATACATTAAGAATGAAGTATGTTTGGAGGGCGGAGCTGGCGTCGCGGCGATATGGTGGGCGATCCTGGGCTCCCAGGATCGCAGCCGATATCTCCCCCCCC